CCATCCTGGAGAGAAATATCAGCTGTGCTGCTTTCATCAACACCATTGTTTATAGATGTTCGAGTCCTGTTTCTCTGACTGTGACTGGCTGGATGTGCTCTCTTCATCCTCTGACATGGTAGCTGGCTCAGAGCTCGTCTGCCTGGCTGAGTGTTTCCTGGATGGGGCCGCCTTTTACTGTTTCTTTTTGTATCTTTGCTTCTGACTCTTTGAACCCCATTGAGCTGGAGGCTTCTTCCTGTTAAAAGGGAGTTTTTCCTTTTCACTGTCCCTACAAGCATGCTTAGTGTGTATAATCAACTGGTTTTCCTTAGGTAGAAAACTTTGAATCCATTTGACGGTATTTGAATTGCAAAGTGCCTTGAGATGATGTGTGTTGTGAATTGGTGTCATATAAATAAACTGAATTGAATTGAATTAAAGCTTTGCACAATTTCTGATATCTTAAACACTATAATAAAACAATAAAATAATGTCATTAAGAAATTATTCCAGGCAGTTCCCTTTCAGTCACAATGTTTACTCCTCCTTGTAGATTAGTGTGACCTCCAAATGTCAGAATAGTAAAGCTACGTACCGAAAGAAAATAATAATTTTGACATAAAACATTAACTGTGTTTCTGTTTATGGAGCACTTAAAAGAGAGAGAGAGAAAAAAGCTTGTTTGAGATTTAGTTAACCTTTTTTACTCAAGTAAAAGTAAAAAGTATGGAACAGGAAAACTACTCTAAAGTATACTTTTGTCCAAAAATGACTAAGCAACTGTCATTGAATAAACACACTTTCTGTTTCATAGCATAAGTAGATTATTTTAACTAGGCACATCACACTGCATATTCAGTATGAAGTGAATGAAGTCTATAAATCATGTAATATAACATATTATACAAATCCATCACAACAAAATGAATTAAGCATAATGCTGAAGTTGCAAAAGTGTTAAATTGAATATATATATGTAATATATATGCATTGATGACATTGTTATAACATATTACATATAATTTCAAAATATCTGAAAATATTTTCCTATTTGTAAATTGTGCATGAATGATGGCACACACTTTTATCCCATGCCTTTAAAAATTTCTGGGTTGCTTTTTTTTGTCCATATAACATGCAATATATTTCCTCACTTTTTCAAATTAGAAATACAACAAACATTACAAGAATGGCAGCGTCATCCACTTAAACAATTACTACATTGATATGTAGTGCAGTTTTGCACTGTAAAGTGCCTTGAGATGACTTGTGTTGTGAATTGGTGCTATATAAATAAACTGAATTGAATATTTCACAGTGAATCAATTTCTATTTACTAACATTAGACACAATGTCAATCGCTAATTTAGTCAATGTCTTCCAGTCAGTCTGAGATAGCCAGACTAATGTTGCGCTACATACTATACTATGTGATGCATTGGTGTATATGTGGATGTTCATTGTTGGTACATCCACTGACTCTGAATTACCTGTGAAAAGTTTTCCCACAGCCAGCAAACTGCTTCTTTTTGCAGTCAAATGCTACACATGTAGGTATTTTTACTGTGCATCTTCGTGGGAGCGGGGAGTACCAACATGCCTGCAGCTGGCTTCACTTTTTTCAGGCAATCAGCAATCCCTTGAATATTCAGATCAGTGGCCACCTTCCTCTGAGCTGCTTTTAACACTTTTATTTTCAGATTTTTTTTCCATTATATTTTTCTGCAGGTGTCAGACTTGGTTTGTTGTTGTATCATTAAGTTCATCCTTTAAAAAAAAAAAAAAAAAAGGCAGGGTTCCTTTAAACAAAATTTTTTTTCCTTTTATTTTTTTGCCGGGTTTACACTTTGTTTGTTTTTTTTTCATTAAATTCTTCCTTTTAAAAAAAAAAAAAAAAAGTGAGTGTTCCTTTAAACAAAATTTTTTTTCCTTTTATTTTTTTGCCGGGTTTACACTTTGTTTGTTTTTT